GCAGGTATACACATAGGGATGGAAATCGGAACGAAATTTCCGATTTCCGCCGAATTCGATCCGATATTTTTCGATTTTGGAACGATTTTTTGCAGTCCGAATTCCGATTTCCGATTTTTTCCGAAAATATCGGATCGGAATCGGAATTGTATATGAATTATTCGGAATTTCCGAATTCCGATCCGAAAATAATTCCGAAATTTCCGATAATATTTCCGAATTTTTCCGAATTTTTCCGAAATTTATTAATATTTCTTCATTAATAATTTACTATTGTTTATAGTTAAGCTTTCAAAAGCCCAATTTAGCAAGGCAACCCACTTTAGCAAATGATGAGTCTAAATATTGAATACTCAGAATTTTAGGGACTAAACAGTAAATACCACAAACTTAAAATAAAACCCTAATTTCTTCCTCTTCTACTTGCGCCGCTCACATCTCCCTCCTTTTAACTTTTTTTTCTTATTCTTCTGCACCGCTCACAGCTTCCTCTCTGAACATTTTTTTTTCTTTCGACCGCCGACTCTTCTTCTCTACCATATGAGTCATTACACCGAACTTCCATATTTTTCCTTTGCGAAACAGAGGCCGGAATTGCTGCAAAATACCACAGTCCTTTTTCTATCAAGATCGCCGGAGTTGCTGCCAAAAGCTATCGTTATTCTCTATAAATCTCTGCCGTGGCCGTTGCTTTTCTTCTGTGCTTCAGTCGCCGCGTTATTCTCTATAAATCTCCGCCGTGGCCGTTGCTTTTCTTCTGTGCTTCAGTCGCCGGGCATAATCAACGATGTTTCCGAAAATTCCGAATTCCGATTTTTTTTTTCGGAATCGAAATCGGAATGACCTTTTGCATTCCGAAATTTTCGGGATCGGAATCGGAAGTGATTTTTCACTTCCGAAAAAAATCGCAAATATTCCGAAGGGGTGGATTCGGATCCGATCCGTCCGATCTCCACCCCTATATACACATATCCGCACCCGTTCCAAACTTGTTTTCGGAAAAATATTAGAAACCGTACCCGCCCCATTTATTTGCGGGGCGGGATTACCCGGAAATTTCTGGGCGGGTCGGGTAAAAATTACCATCCCTAATTACTATTACCATTACCATTATCACTATCATTACCGATACCAATACTGATACAAATACTGATTTAAATGTCGATACCAATACCATTACCACTACCGTTACCACCATTGCTAATAATCTATATTACATATAAAACTAAGATACACAATAAAAGTTATCCACTTGAGGAGATTGAGTCCACATTTTTTTATTAATTTTAAAATAACCCCAGTTACCACAATCACCTATATTATTGTGTAATTGATGTCACATAATTAGTTTTCAAATTTTATCTCTCATAATGTCAAAATAGTGTCTTTTTATTGGTTATTGAGTTTTTTTAATCCATTTTTTCATAATAAATACGTAAATATATAAATGGACATAATTCTTTTTTTGGGTTAATTAAATTTTATACACAATATTTTATTAATTGCAAAAAAACTCCAATTATCATAATCATCTATATTATTAATTAATTAATTTCACATTATTGATTTCCAAATTTTATCTCTCCTACATGTCAAATAGTGTCTTTTTATTGGTTCATGAGTTTTTTTTATAAACAATATTTTGATTTAAAAAACGTAGGACTTAATTGCAATTTTTATAATTTCACAATTAAGTAAATTTTATGCATAATATTATATTAATTGAAAAAAAAACTCACTTACAAGAATCACCCATATTGTTCATGAAATAATTCTACATTGTTGGTTTTTAAATTTTCTCTCTCCTACATGTCAAAATAGTTTCTTTTTATTGGTTAATGAGTTTTTTTTTATAAACAATAAATATATAGATTAAAAAAACTTAGGACTTAAATATAGTTTTAATAATTTCACAATTGATTTGATTAGTTATTGATTTGAAAAAAAACGTATGAGCTTTATTATATTTTCCTTATTTTTACATATTATTATTTTTAAATTAATTTAGATAAAATAGGTAATTATATCAATTTACATTAATTACTTTATTTGTTACCTTTATTACATTCCCCAACTCTCCTATAAATTACCATTCAACACATTAAATTTCTTCAACTTTTCCACGTACATTTTTTCTGTTTCGGAGATATGGAGAGAATTCTTGAAAAGGAATTGCATTGGTATCACCTACATGCAATAGTATATTCATTATAGTCCATTTTGTAGTATAACAATGAATTATTGCTTTATTTTGTATTTGATTTCTTCATTCAATTCTATATGCAGCCTTTGAGGAATGCTTTTGTTGAAGCTTCTCGGTTGACAGGATTGTCTACTATCAATCTTCGCTACGAGGACGGGAATCATTTTCAAGTTCGTGTGTCTTCGCGACAAAAACGTGGAAAATTGTATTTGCTGTTGACTAAGGGTTGGACAGAGTTTTGTTACGCAGATAACATGGTTTGCGGCAACACGTACTCTTTTTTTTTTAACCAATGGGATGATGTACTTGAGGTGTGGCACGGCCCAGCATTTCCAACATTATGATATGTCTTTGCCCTCCTTAAAGCTATATTATTAAATAATACGAGTTGCATTGATTTTTAAATAATTTCGATTTCCTTTATTATGTTTATCTTTCATTTGTAATTTATACAAATATATAGATTCACTTAAGTCGAATGTATATACTAGCCATGTTATGGCTGAAAGAGCATTGTATTCCGGGAACATAATTGTATGCATCCACACGAAAACGAGTCCCCATAAGATAAACTAAATAAAGAAATAGAAACGATAAAGCAATTATACTATATTACAAAAATAGCCAAAAAAGGAAATTTAACAATACCTATATATCAAAAGTTATAGATATGTATTGTTTTGTAATTTATACAGCTAATGTTATCTGCATCAAAAGACCTAGGTTAATATTTATCGTTAAAAAATATTGTATATACTATCTTTTTTATTCTAATACAAAACCCATAATATATCCAATAGTTAAATGTAAAAGTGTAAAATTATGTATAAAATTATATTTAATTGGATATATGTTAAGGACTTATTAGTCGGAATATATTTTAGTATGGGATTTATGACAAATTTAAAATGGATATATTATTATTAATATATGTTAATAAATACATTTATAGATTACCATGATTACAAAACAATGAATGATCATGTACATTCAAAAAAAGTCAATTTGAGCAACATATATTTTTGTTACACGTTTTTTTTAGTTTATTACACAAATACTGATCGATATATATATATATATATATATATATATATATATATATATATATATATATATATATATATATATATATATATATATATATATATATATATATATATATATATATATATATATATATATATATATATATATATATATATATATATATTTCCACATATAATTAATATGCACGCTTTTTATGTGTATTCCATAGTATATAAATAAAAAAAATATATTGCAATAAACATTCATCGCAATTACGCGCCCATGCCAGTTCCAATCGAATTCTCAGCGGAGGACACAATAAACATATTAGTGTTAGATGAACTATGTTATGACCGGTTTGAAATGGGTAGAGAACTTCAACGGTGCCTTGGTTCAATTACAAACGAGCAAAGAAAGGTTTATGATGTAGTTATGGATGTTATATCCAATGACCGTGGTGGAATGTTCTTTCTATATGGCCATGGTGGAACGGGAAAGATGTTTCTGTGGAAAACTCTTTCGCTGCAGTTCGTTCCAAGGGAGAGATTGTAATTAATGTTGCATCGAGTGGTATAGCATTTTTTTGCTCCCCGGTGGAAGAACAACTCATTCTCAATTCGAACTACCCATAAATGTACACGAGAGTTCCACCTGGAGCATATCGCAACAAAGTCCACAGACGGAGTTGCTCATAAGGGCAAAGCTTATTATATGGGACGAGGCTCCTATGATGTGTATATACTGTTTTGAAGCGCTTGACAAGATAATGAAGTCAATATTACGGGGTGACAAACTCTTTGGTGGTAAGGTGGTTGTTCTTGGAGGAGATTTTAGGCAGATATTACCAGTTTTGCTCAAAGCATCAAGGCAGGACATAGTACATGCTACGATAAACTCCTCTCCGATGTGGAATTTCTGTCGTGTCATGAAGTTGACTAAGAACATGAGATTGGAGTCATGCTCTTCTCCATCTAACGTGGATGAGGTAAAAGAATTTGAAGACTGGATACTGAAGGTTGGTAATGAGGATGTTGGGGAACAAAATAATGGTAAAGCTTCGATAGAGATTCCCGATGACATGTTGATTGGTGATTCAGAAGATCCATTCAGAGACCTACTGGAATTCGTTTACTCGGATTTGTTGAGTAACATGTATGATCCAGATTATTTTCAAGGGAGGGCAATTCTTGCACCAACTAATGAATGCGTCGAGTGTGTGAACAATCACTTAATGTATCTCCTTCCAGGAGAGAAGAAGGTGTACATGAGCTCAGATAGTATGTGCAGGGACGAGCAAACAGTGGAGGATAATGCAGAAATTTATTCGACTGAATTTCTCAACACAATAAGATGCTCCTGACTTCCTTCTCATGCGTTGAAGTTCAAGGTTGGTGCACCCGTTATGCTAATAAGAAACATCGATCAAGCTAGAGGATTGTGTAACGGGACCAGACTTCAAATTATTAGAACCGGCATTCACGTTCTGGGTTGCAAAATTCTTTCCGGAAAAAATATCGGTTACATGGTGTTCATTCCTCGAATGACTTTAATACCATCTAACTCCGGACTGCCAATTAAATTTCAGAGAAGACAGTTTTCGTTGATTGTTTCTTTTGCAATGACGATCAATAAAAGCCAAGGCCAAACTCTTTGGCATGTTGGTTTGTATCTTTTCTAGGGTTGTCTTCTGCCATGATCAACTATATGTTGCACTGTCCAGAGTTAAGAGCAGAGGTAGCATTAAGATATTCATCAAGTCGGGTTCGGGTGATTTCACCGATGTTACTAGAAATGTCGTGTACAAGGAAGTATTTCATCGGATTTGAAGATAGAAAATATTTTCATATTTACCAATATTCATGTAACATGTCTTTTTTTAACAACTTATTATTTGGGAGGTGTTTCTTCTCTATATAATTTCTCCCGTGCGATGTTATTTTCAGTCATGTCCCTAGGATGCTTAGTCCAAATCTTCTTATCTTTAAGATTTATTTTTGACTATTGACTAATATTTAATATTATTCTAATGTTGTAACTATGAAGAACATGATACTGAAAACATACTTTTTAATATTTTTGGTCGCGTTTTCGATTTAAATTCAATGAGCTTAATAATTTATATATGCGTAAATTTATTTTTCAGACATGTATTTTCAATTGAAAATATGTTGCCCCGTGCATCGCACGGGTGAATACTAGTAATAGTAATATAGTAATACTAATACTAATATGATAATAATACTATTACTATTAGTAATTCTAAAGCTAATCCTAATCATAATGGTAACGATAATCCTAATTTCCTACCACTAATGCTAATCATAATCATAATCCTAATAATAATACGAATCATAATTTTAATCCTTATAGAAATGCAAATATCCTAATGCTAACACTAATTTTAATACTATTCCTAATATGCTAATGTTAATTATAATCATAATCCTAATTATCATGCTATTACTAATACTAATCATAATGCTAATCGCAATACTAATATTCATACTAATATGCTAATGGTAACGCTAATTCTAATCATAACACTAAACCAATACTTATATGTTAATTCTAATGCCAATACTAATGCGAATCCAAATATAATGCTAATGCTAATGTTAATACTAATGGTAAAGCTAATGATAATCTTAATACTAATATGAATGCTAATACTAATATTAGTATTAATTCTCACGTTAATCATAATTTGTTAATGCTATTGCTAATCGTCATATGCTAATGCTAATGTGAATGATAATACTAATATTAATATTAATCCTTATATGCTAATGTTAATCCAAATATATTAATCATAATCCTAATGGAAATGTTGATTTGTTAATGCTAATTCGAATACTATCTTAATGCTAATGTTAATCCTAATTATAATCCTAATCATAATATTACTACTAATCTTAATCATAATGTTAATGCTAATGATAATTTTAATCTTCCTTCGTAATAATGCTAATGCTAATCCCAATCCTAATACTAATTATAATCTCTATTCATATCTTAATCGTTATCATAATCCTAATCCTAATACTAATAATAATCAAATCATAATCTTAATTGTTAAAACTAATATATGCTAATGGTAATACTAATATGCTAATGTTCAATGCTAATACTAACTTTGATATATTAAACTTATATGTTGATGCTAATGTTAATCCCAATTCTAATCCTAGTATAAATCACAATTCTAATCTTATTCATAATTACAATCCTAATTCTAATCTTAATCTTAATCTTAATCATGATGATAATCCTGATCATAATCCTACTGTTGATCCTAATTATGATCCTAATCAGAATCATAATCCTAATGTTAATCCTAATCTCAATGGTAATTCTAATCATAATTCTAATCTAACCGCAATACTGATACTAATACTAATTATAATCCTAACATTAATTCTATTATTAATACTAATCTTAATCCTAATACTAATTCTAATACTAATCTTGATCCTCATCATGATCTAAATAATATTCCTAATCATAATCGTAATACTAATACTAATGCTAATAATTTAATGTTCATCCTTATATACTAATGTTTATTATAACTATAATATGCTAATGCTAATACTAATATATATCCTAATACCATTGCTAATACAAATCCGAATATGCTGATACTAATCCTAATCATAAAAAGCTAATACTAATGCTAATCATAGTCCTAATCATGATCCTAATCCTAATATGAATTCTAATCCTAATCGTAATCTTAATCATGATAATGATGCTAATCTTGATCCTAATCTTAATCATTATCTCGACCTTAATATTGATCGTAATCTTAATGTTGATCCTAATACTAATACAATAATACTAATACTACTACTAATATTATACTAATACTAATATGCTAATTATAATTTAATGTTAATCCTAATATACTAATGCTAATTCTAATACTAATATAGTAATGATAATACTAATATACTAATGCCAATACTAATATTAATCTTAATATACTAATGCTAATACTAATATGCTAATGGTAATACAAATCTACTAATGTTAATGTTAATATTAATCCTAAAATGTAATGTAAATCCTAATATTAATCATATATGCTAATCTTAATCATAATCTTAATCTAAATGATGATCATGATCCTGAATTCTAATCATGATCTTGGTCTTAATTCTGAACCTAGTTCTAATGTTGATCATGACTTTGATCCTAATCAGAATCCTAGTATGATAATCATAATGTTAATCGTAATACTAATACTAATTCTTTTTTTTTTTTTTTTTTGAGTAAATTCAAGTCCATTACAAGGGGAAGTAGGGGAGGGGGGGGACTCGAACCCTAGACCATTACCCTATTGGTAAAGGCTAGGTACCAACTCTCCTAATGAGGGTTGGTCTACTAATACTAATTCTAGTATTAGTATTTATGCTAATACTAATAGTACCAGTAATATTAATAATATTAGTTCAGCATGAAATTATTTAAAAACTCTTACGCATGGGCGGAACATTATAGGGGCTAGCAGGGGCCAATGACCCCCAAGAATTTTTAGTGTATCTTTTTTTTTTTTTTAATATCTACAAACTCTGTGTATTGTTCCCTTTAACAAATATATATTTATTTATACCTTTTACATTTTCTTTATCATAATTAATTTTGTAAAATATTTTTTACAATCTCAATTGCTAATATTTACTAATTACACTCACAAAAAAACAATTTAACATAAACCAAGAAAGTATATCTTATTTTTCTAATTACATTCTCGATCTGAGTGATTTGAGTTTTTAATTTATCAAATTTCTATTTACTACGAGAATTTTATTTTTCTTAAACATGTTTTGTTTACTCATTCAAGTAATACACCCACATTACAAATCTCTTATTCTAAGGAGTTCTATTGATCATATTCCGTACATACTTGTATTACAATTTATTTTATTAATATCTTACATATTTACATATTTGTGGTCTTTTCCCAATAAATATCGTTAAAGAATTTTGCTGCCCTCAAACTCTCGATAAATATTAGTTACACTCTTAGATTCCCCCCCCCCCCACCCCCCCAACTGAAAAATCATGGTTCCGCTCCTGCTCTTACGTTATAATAATCTAGTTCTAATGGATAACTACATTGAATTTAATATGTCATTTTATACGATTTTCGGGTATACGATGATTTAAAGAAAACATAAGATGGAATTTATAATTAGTTTATTAGAAAGTCAGTAGAAAGGAAAATTTAGAAAAAAATGATTTTTATTTATTTTTTCATCATTAGATAATTAAACTGAGTGCAATTAATTGTTTTTTATTACTTACTTTGCATCTTCTAACATAAATTATTTCTATGATGGTAAAAAATAAAAATCCTATATATTTATATAGAAATAATTGAAAATATCGATTAAGTTAAAAAATGTTATAACCCAATGAATAATAAACCATATCAATATACAGAGTTTACGTTTATACAAATGAAATGAACAATTGAATATTGTCTTCGCAATATTGACAACGTTGTCCGGCTGCTGTACAACCAATGTCGCCTCATATAACACACATGTTGATGTTATACTTATACAAACAAAAACATAAACAAACAAAAAAAAATGTTAAATAAATGATATATGTATATATATGCATAAATAAGCATATAATAATTAATGTGGACAATAAAAGAAAATGCAAAAATAAAACTAATGAATCGAGAAAAAAACTGCCAAAAGTATAATAATAAAATAGAGCATACACTCCTCTAGGTTTTGTTTGATTGATGAAATATCGATTCAAATTGTGAGTGTGATGAATTGGGGTATTTTACTTTTGTTTTATATATGATAAAAAAGAAATTTCCAAATCCTACGGATCCATACTATGACTATGGAGGAATTTTCCAATTTGCATCTTATTGATTGCACTCCAGTAATGGATGATTATTTTCAAATCATAATTCATTAGCATCTTATTTACAAATCTGTATTCCTAAAATCACTCACTATGCATTTAACATGTTTATGGCATTGATATCCTACAATTACATGATAAATTGTAAAAAGAAAGTTTTTGAGTTTGCATTAAATTTCCTAATAAATATTGATTGTATTACCTATTCAATCCATAAACTAAATAAACATAAATTTTAGTAAGTCAAACTTAACAAAAATATGACGTGCGCAAATTAACTTTATTAATGAATGAAATGCCGATTTAGGAAATTTAAAATGAAAATAAATGACATGTGGGATACACGTAGGCAAGATGTTGGATGCCAAATTAAATGTCAGATTTCTAAGCTATGAGGGTTTGCTTTTATATATTATATAGATATAAATTATAAACATGATGAAATATCGAAAAAATTGACGAAAAAAA